GGAGCCGTCCGCATTGGTCTTGATGCGGTACACCCATTTCCCCGAGAGCACATTCTTCCCGTTGGTTTTTGTCGTAGATACCAGCTTCCACGTCTTTTGGTCTTGCAGGGCCTTCAGTTCCTTTTCCATTGCTTCCTTCCATTTTGCCTTGTGTTCCCCCCCCAGAGCCTGCGAAAGAGTCGATGGCTCGCGTGGTGACGGTGGTGGCGGGCTCTGGACGGCGACCCATAGTCCAAGTATCTGCAGGCCCGTGGGTGTGTGTCGAGGGGAATTGGTATTCTCGGGATAAGCTGTTTCGTCACCGTCTTCGGGATAAGGTAAGAAATTTTGTCCGATGCGTTCAGAGACATTTGTGTCGACCTGTTGAGGTGTGACGTAACCCTGGTCAGCGAAGTGGTAATAGGTGTCGAGGTTGTTACTATCAAGGGGATTGTCGTCGTCGAGTGGAACGGGCACGGAGCAGTAAGGTAGTGGTCCGGCAGCTTCCGAGGCTCCAGGTACGTTTTCTTCTACTGCGTCAGCTTTGGCAGCACGGTCGGCGAAGGACCGATTACCTTCGAAGCCGTCGGTGGGGTCGTCAGTGGTGGCGATGTTGTCCAAGTAATGTTGCGGCGTCAGTCGCTCGTAGAAGATCACATCATGTGAGGCCACGGTGGTTTTGTCATGAATGTCGAGAAGTTTCCATGCTTGGAAATGTTTTGCGATGCCGAGGTGTAGTCCCCATCATGCTCCTTGAGAGAATCGACCTGCTCGGGCTGTGTGGGGTCTGTACTGTACCATGCAGCCGAAGACTCAAAGTAATTTTGTGCTGCCCTGTTTTCCTGTCCACAGCAGGTGCGGTGATGCGCTGTTGGGAAGTGATGACGAGGACAGCAAATTGTGCAGGTGGACTGCATGCGTCATCGCGTCAGGCCAAAGTGTGTTGGGCAGTCTCATCCCCAGGAGCAGCTTCCGCATCGTCGTCTGCAAAGTTCGGTTCATCCTCTTTGCGACCCCCTGCTGCTTGTGAGCGTAGGGCAGGGACACCAGGCGTCTGATGCCTCTTTCTGCCAAATAGTTCCTGAATCGTTGTGACCGGTACTCCAGTGCTCCGTCTGACTAGAAGTTCTTGAGTTGCGAGCCCGATTCTCGTTCAGAGATGGGCAGCCATGCCGTGAAGGCTTCGAACGCTTGATCGTGTGTCTTGAGGTTGTAGTGCCAGACGTATCGTGTTGCTGCGTCGATGAACGTTATAACACAGTTGTACTCTGCTTCTATGTCGTCTCGAGGCATATTTAAGATGTCGCTGTAGACTATTTCCATCGGTGCGTATGCAGGTGCGCTTGGATTGTGGTGCGACGAAAAAGGTTGGTGGGGAAGATCGGCTTCAGGGCACGTGAAGCATCGTGCGCGGGGTCGTCGAAGTTCCTGGCCGCTCGTTGTGAGAAGAGCGTTCTTTTCTAATACTGCGGCTTGTATGGTTTGTAGCACGGTGCTGTTTACAGGATGCCCGAGGCGTTGATGCCAGATGTCGTCGGGAGCGCGATGGCCGGGTGAGCGCTGGTACATGTCGGCGTTGGAGAAGAATGCGACGACGGTTGCAGGACTGCGGCAGATTCCTCGGGTGATGGGCATGAGTTGATCTGCTTCGGATGGCAGTCCTCGAATTGCTGGTGATGACGTACGGCTGGGTCCTGCAGCTGCTACTACGTGTGATGTCATGTGAGGGACGCTTGGTGGTACTTGTCGTTCTTGTCGGATGACTGCTAATGCTCGTGTTCTTTCTGCTGCAGGGATGGTGTTGGAGTACCAGAAGCCGTCTTCAGTAAAGTCAGGGTCAAGATCCGGTGGGTGCGTCCAGGCGGCAAACGACACGATGCCATCGCTGTCGGCAGTGCCGCGGTCGTGGACGAAATCCAGCACGAAGATGCCCGACTTGAGGAGAGCGCGGCCGATGAAAAGGCCGCCCTTCTCGTGGCAAAGACGAAACTCATTGTCGTCCGATTCGCATTCCAGGTGAATCCCCTTTGCCATTAATTGGCTAACGCTCAGTAGATTTTCTCCCAAGTTGTCAACGATGAGGACTTTGTTGAGTTCTAGTATGACGTTTCTCTCCATTGACTGAAGCTGAACGACGCCTTGTCAGTTTGTTTTCAGGTTCTCATTGTTGACGACGGTGATGATGACATCGCGGTTGAGACGTCGCTCTCATTGCACGAAGCGCCCGGAAGAACACATATATTGACCGCAGCAGCTGTCCAAGAACCAGGTGTTTCGCCCGGTGGGTTCGGCGTTAACGACTGCAGCGTACGTCGGATTGACCTGGAGACCTTGTGAGCGTGGCGGTGGTAGTTCTTCTTCGTCTGGAACGTAAGTGGGTGGTGACTCGGGTCTGCAGTTGTCGATTCGTACCATGCAGTTGATGATGTTTCTTGTGTCTCGTGCAGGTGTAGAGGAGCGGCTTGGCAGATTTTCTTGAGTGGAGGCGACTTGCGGATCTGCTGGACGATAAACTCGAGGGCGCGTGCAGTTAACCTTGGAGTGTCCGGATGTCTGACAATTGTGGCAGAACGGTGGCACGATGGTGAGTCCTCTGGCGTCGTATCGATTCTGCTTATCACGTCGGTTGTAGTTGTGGTTGTTTCTTCATTGAGTATAGAAGACTAACGGTTGCTGCTTGTTTCTTGGTTGTGTTTCTTCAAACAGGTCCATCTCCTGTTGTTCAGCATGGAGCTCGGCGCAGAGGTGCATCTCGGAGATTCGTCTGTGGGCGCGAAGGAGTGAGCATGTGGTTCTCCATTCTGGCCCGAGCCCGGTGAGGACAAGTGTCAGGAATCTTTCTTCAGTGATTGTTCCTCCGCACCGAGGCAGGCGGTTGCGGAGTGTCTGGCAGCGACTCATATACTGCATCATATGTATTGCTGTCAACTGCTGCATGAGTCTGCTTTGTGTTACGCTGTCATTTGCTTGATAGAGGCACTTCATATGATGCCAAGCGAGCTCCGCGGAGTTTCCGTAGCTCCGATACGTTCTGATGCTTTGTTGCTCTTGTGGTGACAGGTTTCGCAGGAGAGCTGTGTACGCCAGCAGCGACTGATAAGTGAAGATTTCCTGCTCCTTTACAGTGCCATTACTTGGAAATGGCAGGGACCCGTTGAAGTATCCCAAGAGGTGCGCGGCCTCCATCAGCAGCTCGAACTCAAAGCTCCAGGTGAAGAAGTCGTGCCCGTTGAATGGTGAAGATGTCTGCAATTTGATCACATGTGAAAACTGCGCTTGGAGACTCAGTATCTTGTTTGGTGTCTGTTGTGATGCAGCTGCTGTTGGTTGGGCATGGGGCAAATGAAGTCGAACGTCCCCGGTGAAGAGTGATAGGGCGCAAAGGTAGGCGCCTGATTGTGCCGCCCGAATTATGAGTTGTCGAGGCTCATTGGTGCTAATCCCATATTTCCCCCGTTGCTATGTGTTGAATGCGCAGGTGTCCTTGTCTGCTGATGCGGGTCAAAGTGCGACATGAAGCTGAAGAACCTTTCCATAAGGTTTGGGTCCACGCCTGAAGAGGGTGAAGGGGTCACCATTTCTGGTACCCTTCCTGTTGTTTCTTGAGCAGCGCCGGTCTCAGTTTGTAGTCCTGAAGTATGTTGTCCAGAGATGCCGGGTTGAGTGTCTTGGCCGCTGGGTGAGCCCGTAGAAGACTTCTTGCCCTTGTTGTCGATGACTTGTAATCGATGAAGTTCTGATGTGCTGAGTGTAGATAGAATGTCGTTGATGGGAGTTTGGTCTCTGACCAGCTCTCATACCATGTTGGGCTGAGAAAATAGCCCGTAGGATCTTTCTAGAGACTAAGTCCCACTTGTACAAGATGCTTGAGTAGTGCAGCGGAAGTGTTGAGTAGTTGAACCCTTGCACTAGTATGTGAGAGCAAGTGATTGATTAAAAGAATCAAGCATACAGGAATATATAGAGAGTAGGAAATAGAGCAGTTGTAGAATACAGTTGAAGGAACGGTTATTGAGTCGCACAGCGACTCGATCGTCGGTTCGGTTACCATCCTTGCAGTCGTAACGGTCAGTCGCAACCTCCAGTTACGACCCTTCAAGTCCCTTCGTCCTTTCGTATTCTTTCGTCCAACCTCCTCGTGTAACCTTCGTTGACTCGCGTACTCGATAAGACTTTCCTTGAGTGTAGTGTTACACTTCAGAAACGCTTAAGTCCTCGAGGTATTTCCAACATGTAGCCTAGCTAGGTGAGCTCCTAGAAGGGATAAAAACATACTTTTATCTCAACCTCCTGTCAAAAACTCAGCCACTAACCACTGAGTTAAAAGGGCTTGTTAATAGCGGATCAGTGTGCCCATAGTCCCCCAGGCTCTGCACAGGTGGCCCTTCCCCGAGGATCTTCTCAAGGGTAACCCTAGCGGGTCACTCGACACCCCCCCTCGCTGGGACAGGTGGAAGACACGAGCGCCTCTGCAGCGCTAGCACTGGGAATTGAACCCGAGCCACCAACGTTCTGATATCATGTTAGAAATTCAGCCACTAACCGCTGAGTTAAAAGGGCTTGTTAATAGCGGGTCAGTGCACCCATAGCCCCCCAGGCTGTGCACCTGTGGCCCTTCCCCGAGGATCTTCTCAAGGGTAACCCCAGTGGGTCACTCGACACCTCCAGTCTTCCTGAACTTTTTTCCTCGCGCTCAACCATACAAGACCAGCGTGCTCCCAATTGCGACTGAATCTCATCAATTTTCTGAAAATATTGCGAAACCAGGTGGAGGGTCTGATACCACAGATTTTCAGGCGAAATTGTGGGCCTGCACAATATTTAAGGCGAAGTGTGTTCTTTTCCTTATCAAGTTTTAGATAAGCCTTTTTATTGTGAGTGAATGATATCGGAATATCGGTTTAATACTATCCCAAACAAATCATACCATACGTCACACGTTGTGGCTCAGCCGAGTCTCACAGCCGCAATTGTGCTCCACCACTTCATTCCTGCTCTCGTGGCCCTGCGATTCATCAAACATTGAGGGCGTTCTTGTGGGATTCAGATGTGATGTTCGTGTTTCGACATGTGGGAGGGTTCAGTAGCAGGAGCAGAGGCTCCTAGTCAGCCAGAGGAGCTGTTTATGCCGCATTACGTCTATTGGTTGGTCTGCGGAACCATTGCGATCTTCGCCATCCTAGTACTGCTGATTGTTTCAGTTTTATTTTTTGTGTGCTTTCGAAGGTTGAAGCAACCCACTCAAGATGCAGAGGAGTTGTCCACACAAGGCACTTATCCCGTGCGCTTTTCCATGCACGAGATTATTGACGGAACAAAGAAATTTGACCGTTCGGTTTTGATCAAGAAGGGGCGTTTCTCCTCCTACTACGTGTACCGGAAGCCTGACATGAATGACATGGTCATCAGGCGACTCCACCGAAATATCGTGCAGAACAGAAGCGCTGACGACTTTGAATCAGCTGTCAAGAAAGTAGCGGTTGGAGCGATCCATCCTAACCTTGTCAAATTAATCGGGTTCTCCACGGCCACCAAGGAGAGAGTGATTGTGTTCGAGAGGATCTCAATGGGTAAGCCTTTCAAATTCCTGCTATCACTTTTGTTGACTTACACTCGAGCAACCCTGTCCGTTGTGTGCCAGGCTCTCTGCATGAACACCTTCATGGAAACTCAAAGAAGCCGTTAGACCTTGACTGGAAGTGCAGGGTCCAAGTTGCCCTGGGTGTAGCCAGAGGCTTGAATCACCTTCACCAAGTGAGTCCCGCTTTCAGGCATGATCGCTTGCAGGTACGAAGACATGGCGCAACTTATTTAAAACATGCAGAGAGTCCCTCCATTGCCTCATGGCATGCTTGACTCGACTCGGGTTCTGCTGGATGCGAACGGAACTGCTAAGCTTTCTGGATATGGCGAGCAGCTACTTATACCCGAAGAAGCCTCACAAAAGATTCTGATTCACTCCATCAAGATGTCAGGTTATTCAGGTAATTCATTTTTAAAATCGCGTCTTTTCTATATAGCTTCCTTTTGCTAACTCATTCCAACTTCATTACTCAGCACCTGAGCAGATTGTTCGAGGTCATGGACCACTTCAACCGTCTGATAGCAGTGCAGACGTCTATGCTTTTGGAGTTTTACTGTTGGAGTTGCTGACAGGAAGAAAGGCATTGGATACGTCAAGAGGGTCACACGAATCCCTCCTTGCTGATTTCTTTAAGCCCATGCTCAACGACACACAAACTTTGCTCACGTACATTGATCCAAGAATGCAGGTACGAGTGCCGTAGGCCATCAGCTTTGAAGCAAAGGCTACCTGAGAATTCTGACAACAATCATTGCAGGGACACATCTCTCTGGAGGACATATGCAGAGCTGCTGATTTGGCAGCTGAATGCTTGGCAATTGAACCCCAAAGAAGAGTCAGCATGTCTACCTGTGTGGCTGAGCTCGTCCAGATAAGACATTCCCAACGAATCCCTTCAAGAGCGCACTCTCCATCCAGAGAATCTCCCAGCAGGAAGGCAATTCCCAAAAGTCACAGTAGGCTGTATTACAATGAGATTGGTTGAAAAGACTGAATCTGAATATACTAAGCCAGCACATCAAGTTCTCAGAATAACGAATTGAATAGAATGGAGGGTATAGGGTGACTCTGTGCTTGTTGAAGTGTACTCGACACAGTTTACTTATGTATTCCTGATATAACACTTACACTGTACTAGTAGCGCAATAACTCATTTGGGAGGTCGAACGTGATGACGTCAGCAGTAGCGAGTCAACGCGTGAACAGTGTGTTCGTGCGTATAGTCACCCGAAGGGTCACGCCACTCTCAGTCACATGAACAGTCACTAAGTCATGTCACGCAAATAAAGGCGATACACTACGGACAAATACATTTGACAAGCTGATTTTGATTACGCCCTTAAGCTTAAATTATATATCTATAATTACCGTATTCTCCTGGATATATTACCCTAGGGAGCTAATAAGAATTCATAAAAATTTTGGGGTGGGTGGAATCAAAGGCCAAAAAAATATATGACCATGGGTGGAATCACGCATATGCGTTTTTCAATTCCAAATTAGTTGTGCATGTTACAGGACTTTGTTTTGTGTCACATATCAACCTCTCGTATCCTCATTGCGTATCCTACAATGTGGCCCTTCTACTTGCCACATCGTCAGCTAAATTAGTAGAGTCAAGGACGAGGCTGGCAAAGCAGCCAATCAAGTGCTGCAGGCCTCGTCCTTGCTGCCTCCAATCAGTGGGCGGTAGCGAAGGTTTGTTTTGGCAGGAGGGCGCAAGAGTCGTGAATGAACAATTTGGATTTCGATGTTTCAACTTTTTTTTTTTTTTTTTTCCCCCGTTCGGACACATTCGGGTTGACCACCAGCTCGCTTCCCCCACTCGCCCTCACGTTTATGCAAGCAACTATGCACGGCAAATTCTGTTGTTCCCCGTCGAAATAAGGATTCTAGGTGGCGGGGGGTGTTCAATTGTTTTCAAGCCCAAAAGTAGGGTGGTAACTAGATCCAGTTTAATTAAACACCCATATCCGCTCAAGCCACCCATGGGAGCTTAATTCCTGCGGGTACTCTATCTGGGAGAATACGGTACGTCAGCTGCTAAGAAAGGAAATTCAACTACGAATTCTCCTACTTCTGGTCTTTCTATTGACAATCTATCTGACTTCGCTTCTTTGATGGTTAATCAATCTACTAAACAACAACAACAAGCTCCAGCGCATCCTATAGCTTCTATGAGCCTTCATAACTCTAGTTATGCAAGAGCTGCTGTTGCCGCTGGGCCTTTAGCCCCTAAAGATGAATCTGCTGGGACTTTTTCCTTCCATGGGCGACCTGCTCAACCAGAGCAACAACAACAATCACAGCAGCAACAACATCAAATGGTAGAAGAATGACAATGTACTGCAAAAGCTGTTGTAAATCAAACAGATTTCCTAACTATCTCCAAGCTGCAGACCTCAACTTACTTTGATGGTCTCGACTTTTATACTTGGGGATTCGAGTTCATCCTCCTCGCGCAATCTTCTGGTATCTAGGGATATTTCGACGTTTCAATCCTTTATCCAGAGACAGGAACGACCGAAGAACAGGTGCGTTACTACGAGTATTCGCTTATGGCCTATACACAACTGGTGCGGAATCTCTTACATGAAGAGCAGTTGGGAGTTTGGTGCTTCAAACCTTCACTCGCTCCATCCTTCCACGCTTGGGATTACCTCCGACGGTTGTATCAAGCACAAGATTCCGTTTCACAGAACAAGCTGTTAAGTCAACTTACAGCAATGCAAATGCTTCCAGGAGAAAAATCTGCCAGCTACATCAACAGGTGCAGAAGTCTTCGCGACCAGATGGGCAGATGTGGAGGAAATCTAAGCAATGAGCTCTTCGCCACTATTCTTGAGTCTGGACTTGGATCCGAATGGAGGCAGTGCAAGTCTCTTTGCGCTACTCTGATGGCAGAGCAGCAGGACTTGGACCTGTAGGACACGAAATGAGGCAAAGCCAAGAGTGGGTTAAGCTTTTACACAGATGGACAAAGTCAAGGGGAGCAGACAAGAGGTGCATCAAATCAATGGGAGCTGACAAGAAAAAGAGGAAAGGGCTTCTGCAAGTTCTGCAAACGAGCAGGTCATTATATTAAAGACTGCTAGTAACTGAAGAACAGGAATCGGGAGAAGTCGAGTGAAGCTGTCCCTGTCAAGACAATCTCGCCACCTTCAGCTTCTTCAATTCAACCTACAAAAGGCAAGGCAATTATTAATTGCATGATTGGACCACACTGGTCTAGTGGTATACGCTACTGGAGCCAATGAGACAATGAAGACATCGACAGTAACATGGAAGAAGTAGCAACCAACCTACCTCCACCTCTTCTCTCTCGTTCAGAAACTCCAGAACTAGCAGTCGTTAATGAAGAAGAACCAGAGCAGCCGAGCAGGTATTCTTGACAGTTGAACGTGCAGCCGTACGCCCTCATCGCCAAGCGTACGTATCCCGGGCATGTTAGCACTTGGTTTCTTGACAGCTATTGCAGTCACCACATGGCGTCTTCAAGTCGCTATCTTCTCAACTAGCGAGACCTGTCAAAAGGAGAAAAATACAACATTACAGTGGCCAACAATCAAGTTATTGAAGCCACCAGAATTGGAGATATGATACCAGAGTCGGACGACACCGAAGTTCCACTTCACCTTAGTAAGGTTCTCGTCGCCACGGGACTTGGCTTCAACATATTATCTTAAGCGCAGCTGATGGAAAGTGGCATCTGCTTTATCAACACCACCAATACGATGCTTACGGAGCTGTACCTGGGCGACAAGAAGGAAAACAGAAGCAATTTAGTTGGCATCACATAAATTAAATACGGCGTTCCGTTTTACGATTTTCGCCTGTAAAAGCATCTGGCGATAGTGAGATGAATGTCTCACTTGCTCCTTGGCATCATCACTGGGAAACATACCATCATCGTCTCAATGTCTTCTGCGTCATGCCTCAGCCTTCTCGCACCAACTCCCTCGACGAACCTGCAGCAGAGCCAACAAGAAGCACCATCAGCAGCAACAGAAACAGTTCAAAGTACATGGGCATGTGGAGATGGAAATTGGGGTTACGTCAATCGAAAACCAAGATCTGTTACAGTCGAAGAACCTATGGAGGTTGAACGCAAATGGGGCAAGAAAGAGTTAATCGTAGCTGATGCTTGGGCGCATCGTGAACACCTCGGCATACCTTGGGTTGAAACTTCTGAAGAAGCCATGTTCATCCAGCCTTTCAGCACCGGCTGCTGCGGCAAATATGTGCCAACGATTCATCTTTCGCCGGCCTTCTTCCTTCACTCCAACTTGTACCTACGTTCAAAGGGACACATGACAACTGTAGAAATCTAGCACAAGCGGTTAGGTTATCCCTCGCAGGAAGCTCTCAACACCTCAATTAAAGCCTCGGTTTTTGACAAGGACGCATTCCTTCTAACCAACGGCCAAGAGCTTTGACCTAGCAGTCGTCAACTACCCTGCACCATCTGCCCCGAAGCTCACCTAAGTCACGCTCTGTTCTCGTCCCACTTTCCGAGTGCTACTAAGTACTCACCTATGGATGTCCTTTTCAGCGACATACTCTTCATGCCACAAGAAGCAGAAGATATCAGCGGCAATGACTACCACTATATCATTACCTTCATCAACGGTGCTACTCGTACGTCTGGCACAAGAATATCTCTCACAAGTCTGAAGCTCTTGATGCCTTCAAACTATGGCTGAAAATCGCGGAGCGGCAGAGTGGCATCAAGCTGAAAGAGATCCAGACAGACAACGCGGGCGAGTACGCTAGCGAGCATTTGGATGAATTTATGGCGCAGAAAGGGATACCCAGGCGCAAGATTGTGCCTTACGCTCATCAGTAGAATGGAGTAGCTGAGATAACTAATAGAACGCTGCAAGAGGAGATGTGCATGCTGCTGCAACAGTCCAGCTTGACAGCAGACTTTTGGCCGTTTGCGATGGCGCAAGCTGTCCACCTACACAACTGCTTGTCTTCAACAGCTCTCCCTCAGTTCAGCTTGCCACACGTCATGTGGACAAAACATCCCGCCGACACTCGACTATTACGAGTCTGGGGCTGCATGGTCCAATACAGACCACCGAGTGCAACTGTGGGCAGGTTTACTGAACGGGCTCGATGGAAAATACGCCTCAGTGTACCTAAAGATTCCAGCTTCTGGATAAGTATGGATCACGAAACCCGAAAGGTTTTGCATTCCTTGAATTGCATCTTCTATGAGAAACTTTTTCTCAATGACTTGGAACGCGACAAGGAACGCCAGCAGCTCTCGAGGTTTGCCAACCTCATCCTCGTGGTGACCAATCGGCTCTTCAAATCCTCGGACTTGCTGTCGCAGTTCAGCAACCAACGACTGGGATCGAGCCGACAACAATCAAGCAGGCCCTCTCCGGCTCTGATGCTAACAAGTGGCGAACAGCTATGGATGCAAAGGTAGCAGCTCTCGAGAAGCGGAAAACGTGGAAACTCGTTCCACGCGAAGCAGCACGTGACAAGAAAACTCTTTCGGGCAAGTGGGTATTTCGCATAACGACAAATGTAGCAGGTGAACCAGATAGATTCAAGGGGAGATGGGTCGTTTGAGGTTTCGAACAAACCCATGGCTTTGACTACGACCAGACTTTTGCTCCGGTCAGGCGTCATACCTCAGTTCGACTTCGTCTCGCCATTTCTGCCAGCCGCCACCTTCCACTTTGCCAATTAGATGTAAAAAATGCATTTTTATACGCAGACGTCGATGCAGATATTTCCGTCGGAACTCCCTCACACTTACGGTGACAGACTTCACATCTGCAAATTACTTAAGTCACTCTACGGCACCAAACAGGCTCCTTGCCTATGGCAGCAGCATGTTCATAAAGTGCTGATTTCACTCAACTTCGTGCAGCTGCCCCACGATCCTGGAATGTACCTACTCAAATTTCGAGGGCATTACATCCTTCTAGTCACCTACGTGGACGACTTACTGTATACTGGCTCGTGCAACAGCCTTCTGGCGCGCATGGAAGAAAGAATCCAAATGATTCTTGAAGTGACTATTTCTCCAA